ACGTCTGGCCCAGTAGCCAAGATCGTGCAATCGTCGGCGTACGATACAATGTTGATACCGGCTGGCGGCGGTGGCAGTTTCGAAAAGTAGTGGTTGAACAGAGTGGGCGATAAGACTCCGCCTTGTGGGACGCCTTGTTTGATTTTTCGGTCGGGCTTTTGATTTGACGCCCCGAAATTCGACGAACGATTGACGACCTCGTAGATAGTTGCACAGCCAGCGTCTTATCGACGATGGTAGCGTTGAATAGAAAACGTCTTGCAGTAGGATGGCGTGATCTACCGTGTCATCCCGGCACGAGGGGATGTAAGGCAGGAGCGACTACGAATATTTGTGTGAATGAATTTAAGGAGCATTTTGAACGAGTGACGTGCGAGAGGTATGAAGAGGAGCCGGGAGTGATAGAACGGGCGGTAAATGATGCGACTGACCTGCGAGAGTGTGGAAGAGCGAAAGAGGCAAATGATCGACTGAATGAAGTGCCTGAAAGAGAAGAGATTGTAGCGGCTATGAAAGATATGAAAGAGTCGGCGCCTGGGGAAGATGGAGTGAGGATTGGATATATTAAGTGGGCGGATGAAGGAGTGAGAGACAGAGTGATTGAGCTAGTGAGAGAAATGTTTGTGAAGAGAGCGGATGCTTGGGATGAATCATTGAAAGTAGGCGTTATGATTCCGTTATACAAGAAGAGTGATAGAAATGACTATAATAACTATAGGGGGGTATGTCTGTTGAGTATGGGGAGCAGAATACTTGCGAGGGTGATAGCGAAGAGAGTGGCGTCGTGGGCTGAGTATTTGGGGTTGTTGGATGAGGAACAGGCAGGTTTTCGAAAGAGTAGGTCGACAGCGGATGTGGTGCAAATGATGGTTCGTATGCAAGAGGACGTGGTCGATTTGAAGAGAAGAATGGAACTGAATGAGAACGGGGGCATGAATGAAGAGGAGTGGCCTGTGGCGAGACTGCTGGATTTGAGAAAAGCGTATCCGAGTGAACAAACCGGGTTTGTGGAGGTTGCTTGAGAGGTATGGAATGAAAGGGAAATGTCTGGATACGATTGTGGATTTGCATGAGTTGACTGTGTACAAGGTGAGAGGGAAGGAGGGAGTGTGTGAAAGCTGGGTGCCTGCGAGAGGTCTGCGAGAGGGGTGCTCCACGTCACCCACCTTGTTTGATGTGTACCATCAGGCGGTTATGAGGCAAGCGGAGGTGGCGAGAAGAAGCGGGGGTGAAGAGGTTGGGGTGACGTGGAGATGGGTGCCAGGGGGTTCGTTTGCTGGAGAGAGTGCATGGGAGAAGGGGAGTAGTGAGTGTGTGAGTGAGAGTGTCCATGGCTTTGTTTGCGGATGATACTACGATTGTGGGTGTGAAGAGTGAGATTGAGAATGGTGTGAGAGCAGTGAAAGAAGTGATGAATCAGTAGGAGGAACGAAACAATGAGAAGAAAGAGAAGGTGCTTGAGTTTGGGACAGAAGAGGGGGTGAAATCAGAGTACTTGGGAGCTGGGTGAGTTCAGAAGTGGATGTGAATAACAGGATCAGGAGAGCTGGAAGTTTGTGGTGGAGAGTGAAAGGGTGGTTGAAAGGGTCGAGAATGTCTAAGAAGTGTCAGGCGAGGGTGGTGGAGGCATGTGTGGAGAGTAGTCTGTTGTATGATTGTCAGGCAAGAGTGTGGTATGTAAAGGATATGAATCGGTTGCAAAGGTGGATGGACAAGTGTTATAGATACGTGTGGAGTGATCGGAATGGCCAGCCTCTGAGGCAAATGCAAGCGAGAGGAGTGAACATGTGGGATGTGAGGAAGTGCTTGAGTGTAAAGAGTGTGAGATGGAAGATTGAGAAGCGTATGTTGGAACGAGTGGGGCATGTTATGAGAATGGGAAATGAGAGGCTGACGAAAGCGATGGTGCTAGGATGGTGTGAGAGGTTGGAAGGTTTCGGGAAGATGAAAGGGCGTAAGAGGAAGACTGTCTTGTATTGGAAGAGGATGTTGAAGGAAGCGGGAGTGGACTGGACTGATGTGGAGCGGCTGAGCCGAGATAGGGATAGATGGAAGAGCATGGTGAAAGAACGCATGGAGCATTTGTATGAGTGGGAATGTCAGAAAGGGCATGAGAACGCTTGGGATGCAGATGTGGCGAGACTGGACAGGAATGTTAGAAGAATGAATGACTGGGTATGCAGATATGAGGGGTGTGGGAAGGTCTGCCGAAGTAAGGCGGGCCTGACCAACCACCAGAAGCGCATGAATAGAGTGGCTGAGGAGCGAGTAAGGTTTGTTTGTAGCATATGTGGTATGAGTGTTGAGACGGAGGGTGCAAACAGGGTGCTGTCGGTCGCCAATATGGCGAGGCACCAGAGGGCGTGCCTGGTGTGGGACCATGTGGGGGGGGGGGCACGTCCCTGACGGGGATCGACGGCCCGGAAATGGACATGGAAATGGAAAAATGGAAATGGACGGTATTAATACACTAGCATTAAACCACTGTAATGCAAGATGATAGTTAACTCTATACAATAATCTAATAAAAATGATATTCTACAATAAAAGAACATTAATAAACTATTCTGAGCTACTATCAACTGATAATAGTGAATACTTAAACCAGCTGAAATCATTTCTTCGCAATGAAAAAACTGGGAGCGGCATTTTTAGCACGATGTTGAGGAAATTGCCACTGCCTGAAATGCATTTAAAATTACCCTCCAACATTCAATCTGAGCAAATTTCCAACGGTTCTTTCAATGCTAAGCATACCTACTCCTGTGGCCCTGGCACTAAGGTGCAAAAAAGACTGAATGAAGGTTATAAGGGAGTTAATTCATGGGATAGAGCTCGCAGAGAGCATGATATATGTGACAGTGCGCATTCAAAAACTAAAGACAGAAACAAGTCCGATGATATCCTAGCGAAGAAAGCGGCTAAAATTGCGATAGATCCTAATGAGCCTGAATATGTTAGAACTGACGCTAAGTTGGTTAATGCTATAATGGCCGGAAAAAGTTGCGTAGGTCTTGGAGTATCAAAAAGCGTAAAAGTCCACTCACAGAAGTGAGTGGACAGATTTAGTTGACATGCAGAAGTATACAGATAAAGGTAAAAACTACATCCTAACTGTGATTGACATCTTTAGCAAACATGCATGGGCAGTTCCTATACGTAGAAAAACTGGTGAAGAGATTAAATCCTATTTCCAAAAGCTTTTCACTGAATGGATTCCCTTGAAAATTCAAACAGACAAAGGTCTAGAGTTCATTTGTAGTGAACGTCTCGAAAAATGTATTATTTCATTTTGTCATGAATTATAAAACTAAGGCATGTTCTGGACAATTAAAAATGTACCTAGTTAGCCTGCACATACGTCTAATGACAATATTAAAATAAAATAGAATTTCATAATTCGAAAAAGATAAACAATGTTTGTCAAATAATAATCTAGACTTTCCCCAAAGTGCAACACTGAACCGAAATTCGGATCGTAACCGATTTATTCACTTGGTATTACTTTGTTACCTAGAGCACATTAAACTGGGGTAAGAATCTAATAATAATAAGATTTATTTATTTTTGTATCCTCTTTGTGTTGTGAGGTGTTGCTATTGTAATGACAAATATGTAACTATTGTCTCATAATAAAACAAGATCTGCCAGGTGGCAGCTGTGTGAGTAAACTCTTAAGTTGATAAGAAATATTCCTGTGAGATATAAAATGTAATAGTCATGTTGTCAGCTGATACGACCTATGATATGTATGTGTTCTGTGTACTGATTTATGTAACGTTGGCAGGTATTTGGTCTGAGCTACTCTTCTAGTGGCCTCCCTCGAATGTCAAGATCTAAGAAAGAAACTTGAAAAGCAGCTCTCCTTGTTTGAAACACCCTCCTGATACCATTAAAGTTTTGTGGATGTCATTCTAGAATCTGTTCATGAACTTTGAGACTAGAATAGTGAGGTCCCACAACTGTCAACTGGTGACCCCAGTGCTGATACAAATCGCATGCCAGGTAAACAGTGACTCAGTGAGTGAAAAAATTTATGAATTGACATGACCAAATACCCCAGAAAATCAAAGTAAAATCAGTGGGCTAAATAAACAAAAGTGTAAAAGATAAGACTAAAAGTGAAGAGAAAAGAAGATAGTTACATCAAGAACATCAAAATCACACAAGAATGGCGGAACAAGAAGACCTAAGCTCCAGTATGCAGAGTGTGCACATTGCTGAAGTCTTGGTAATGATCAACTCGAAAGCACCAGACTTTACAGAGACAGACGTTGAAGCATGGTTTGCCATACTGGAAAGCCAGTTCATATTGAGAAAGATTCCAAAGATTCATATTAAGAAGATTCCAATTTCTAAAATTCCAAAGGATGTAATCAAAATGCAAAATATGAGGAACTCAAATCAACTCTGCTTGCCAGCTACGAGAGGAGTTATGCTGAAATAATGGCAAAGTTTATGAAAACCACAAGTCTATCTGGAAGGCCGTCGCAATTCCTACAAGAAATCATGACAATGGCCAATAAATTAAATGTCGGGCCAGACATGATTCGGCACACGAATCATGAGTGTCATGAGAACGAATAATGAGTGTTCGGCACACGAATCATGAGCTACATGAGTGTAGCTATCTCGCTGGCAACACGAAGTGACCTTAGCCTAGAACAACTAGGAAAAGTAGCAGACCAGATCTTTACATACCATGGCTCCAAAAATCCGGTGAATGCAATCACGGAAAGGGGAGATATTTCATCTCGCAATCGCAACTCATGGCAGGAGTCACGCACAAGAACCCCAAATGACAGCATACCAAGAGGAGTACAACCATTCCATACAGTCCTGACCAACGCCCAAAGGTTTGCCGAGCCCACATTTATTTTGCAGACAAAGCCAAAAATTGCACATCATGGTGCAAGTGGCCTAATAAGCAGAATTGTCAAATTCAGCAACGCTTTCGCTCTGCCTCACCAGCATATTCGCGATCTTTATCCCCAAGACCCTGCTCACCAGTAAAAAACTAGTTAATTAAGCGAGTCGCTATGGCTTCAACCGACTCGCCGCTTCTAGAAGTTGCTGCCAGCATCGGAGCCCTAAACATCAAGTTCATCGTGGACACCGGCTCTTCGGTATCCATCATCCCATCCTCTTTCATTAAGGGAGCCCTGATCCAACCCACTAACATTTCCTTGTCATCGGCAAATGGACAGGAGATCAAATGTAAAGGTCAGACGAAGTTGGAAATAAAAATACCAAACCTACGACGCACATTCAAACGGATTTTCATCATTGCTGAAACTGTGAAGCCACTGCTGGGAATAGATTTTCTCAACAACTTTCAGCTGATGGTTGACTGCGCGGCAAAGAAGATTACTGACCCTATGACAAAGCAGTCTGTAAACATGACAACATCAAGACGCGTGGGCAACATACTGGTCAACGACGTAAAACTACCAAGATCTGTGGAAGAAATCCTCAAAACCTACCCAGAATTAACATCTCCACACACAAGACAGGACCGGAAGAACAGCAAGGTGTTCCACAGGATCCACACTTTAAGCCATCCACCAGTGTATGCCAGCCAGCCCAAGACAACTGTCTCAAGAAAAACTGAAAATTGCCACTCAAGAATTCAAGAACCTCCATGAAAATGGGACCATCTCAACATCCACTAGTCCATGGAGTTCACCTCTGCTCCTAGTGACAAAGGAAAATGGGAAGGTAAGGTGCTGTGGTGATTACCGCGCACTTAATGCAATAACGACACCTGATAGGTACACTATACCACATTTGAGTTCCTTTGCTGCGAGACTGCACAATAAAACTAGATTTTCAAAAATAGACTTAACATCTGCTTTTCATCAAATTAGAGTGCATTCTCATGATGTATGTAAAACTGCTGTTACAACCCATTTTGGACTGTTTCACTTTAATTGTATGCTTTTTGGTCTCAGAAATGCTAGCGCAACTTTCCAACGCATGATGGATAATATCTTTAATAATGTAAAATGTGTTTTCGTGTACATAGATGACATCCTAGTTTTCTCAGACGATGAAATTTCTCATGTGGAAGATTTGAAAGCCGTGTTTGAAATATTGCATGAGCATGATCTGAAGATCTCGCTTGGAAAATGTGTTTTCAATGCAACAGAAATAGACTTTCTAGGCTTCAAAGTAGATTCAAACGGTATCAAACCGACAAGTGACAAAATCAAGGAATTGGAGGACTATCCACCTCCAAAGGATTAAAGGCATTGAGGCGGTTCCTTGGAATGGTGGGATTCTATCGCCGGTTAGTCCCCAACTTTGCTTCCCTCATGTACCCTCTCACAGAATGTATACGTTTGAATCCAAATGCAAAATCACTGAACCTGTCGGAGGGAGAAAAGCAATCCTTTACTAATATTAAATCTCATCTTGCCAGTCTAGCTGCATTGCCCCATCCTCACCTGAGGCTACAAAATTCCAATTGGTCACTGACAGCAGTCAGTATGCCGTAGGTGCTGCTATGCATCAAATGATCGATGGTAAACCCATCCCCATAGGTTTCTTCTCAAAGAAACTATCGCAAGCTCAAACCGCCTACTCAGCATTTGACCGGGAACTATTGGCTGCGTATCTTGCTACTTTGCATTTCAAGCATCAAATCGAGTGTAGATATGTCCTCTTGCTTACAGATCACAAACCTCTTGTAAATGCATTTCATAGTCTCAAGCCAGCTAAATCAGACCGTCAACAAAGGCATTTGAGCATACTCACAGAATACTTGTCCGATGCGGCACATATCAAAGGCAGCGATAATGTAGTTGCGGACTGTTTATCGAGACCAACCATTGCGGTAATATTAGATGTGTGCGACCTTCCTGAGCTTGCGAGCAAACAAACCGCCGACGCTGAGATTGTGAAATATGCTGACCGTTTACGCGAATATACCATTAAAAGTTCGGATCACAAAATCTTATGCGATGTTTAAATGCCTTATCCAAGACCGTTCGTTGTAAAATCTTTGCGCAGAGCAGTCTTTAATAGTCTTCATGCATTAACGCATCCCGGAATTAAAGCCTCACGGAAACTGATTAAAAGCAGGTACTTCTGGCCAGAAATGGACAAAACGATAAGAGAATTCTGTCAACAGTGCATGGCCTGCCAAAAATCCAAAGTGCATATAGGCACACACGTAGCCCAGCACAAAATTTTGAACTTCCTTCACCTCGATTTCAAACTGTGCGCATTGACATAGTCGGACCGTTACCACCAGTGAGAAATAGCTCTGACCCGTACATTAGTCCTTACAAGTATTTATTGACGTGCATAGATAGGGCGACGCGATGGATTGAAGTGCAGCCACTGGTGGATATAAGTGCTCAAACAATAGCGCAAGCGTTCCTTGAAGCATGGGTATCACGTTTTGGCGTGCCATTGCATGTGATGATTGTGATCACCGATAGAGGTGCACAATTTGAATCGGAACTCTTCCTCGAAATGTCAAAAGTTGTGGGGTTCAACAGATTGCGTACCACTAGCTAACTTCCTCAGACTAATGGATTGATAGAACGCGCACATAGAACAAGCAAAGCAGCAATTATGGCTCGCAAAGAATCATGGCTCACTGCTTTGCCCGTGGTATTGCTCGGTATACGAGCAGTACCAAACGAATCAGGGTTCTCGCCGTTTACAGCCGTCACAGGAACGTCACTGTTGCTGCCACAGATAATGATTGATCCCCTAGAGTCCACTGATAATACAAACCATAAGATGATCAAAGATCTATGTCAGGAAATGTCGAATATGGACTTCATGCAATGTTCTAGCGGCAAAACTACCTCCAGTTCCAAAACATTTGTACCGAAAGAATTGAAACATTGTGATCAAGTTTGGGTACGCGTCGATAGAGTGAGGAAGCCGCTTGAAGCGCCGTACACCGGTCCTTATAAAGTGATGAAAAGAACTCCGAAATATTTTGTAATCCAAATGTCCGACGATGTACAAAATACTGTGTCGATTGATCGTTTAAAACCGGTACACTGGCCTACAGTAGCAACTGTACCTACCCTTCCTGAGTTAGAAACAGGAAGTGCGATCAATCCAGAGGAAATGAAAACTAGAATAATCCCTTAGATGACCGTGACCACCGAATCAGACCAGGAAGACTCCGCGCCTGGTGCGATTGCTGTGAACACACCGGCTCCGAAGGCAACGCGTTCTGGCCGACATGTAGCATGGAAACGGCAAAATGAATACATTTACTATTAGCTCCGCTCTTGGGCGGGGAACTGATGTAGTGAACGTCTCGAAAAATGTATTATTTCATTTTGTCATGAATTATAAAATTAATTCATGTTTAGGACAATTATAAATGTACCTAGTTAGCCTGCACATATGTCAGATGACAATATTAAAATAAAATAGAATTTCATAATTTGAAAAGATAAACAATGTATGTCAAATAATAATCTAGACTCTCCCCAAAATGCAACACTGAACCGAAATGCGGATCGTAACCGATTTATTCACTTGGCATTACTTTGTTACCTAGAGCACATTAAACTGGGGTAAGAATCTAATAATAATAAGATTTGTTTATTTTTGTATCCTCTTTGTGTTGTGAGGTGTTGCTATTGTAATGACAAATATGTAACTATTGTCTCATATCAAAACAAGATCTGCCATGTGGCAGCTGTGTGAGTAAAACCTTAAGTTGATAAGAAATATTCCTGTGAGATATAAAATGTAATAGTCATGTTGTCAGCTGATACGACCTATGATATGTATGTGTTCTGTGTACTGATTTATGTAACGTTGGCAGGTATTTGGTCTGAGCTACTCTTCTAGTGGCCTCCCTCAAATGTCAAGATCTAAGAAAGAAACTTGAAAAGCAGCTCTCCTTGTTTGAAACACCCTTCTGATACCATTAGAGTTTTGTGGATGTCATTCTAGAATCTGTTCATGAACTTTGAGACTAGAGTAGTGAGGTCCCACACATTAACAAGCCAACACAAGAGCAATTCAAAAAGTTTGTAATTCAATGGTTTGCAACTGAAAATGAAACTAGGGCTCAAGTTTTTGAGAGATTTAATCGGACTCTCAAAACAAAAATGTGGAAATATTTCACGTAAAACCAAGACAAAAAAGTGGGTAGATATTTTACCAGATTTAATTGATAATTATAACAATAGTTATCATCGATCAATAAAAATGATTCCTCGTGAAGCTTCGATGGAGCAGAACAGTAAAATAGTCTATGCAAATTTATTCCCCGAGAAAAAGACTTGTAAGAAAGCCTAAATTCAAGATTGGAGATCGTGTCATAATTAGTAGAAAACGTAAGGATTTTAATATAGGATATCTCCCTAATTTCACACGTCAGTAATTTATTATCTCTAAACTATTAGAAACGAACCCAATAACTTATAGGTTGAAAGATATGAATGGGGAGGAAGTAATAGGGAGTTTTTACGGAGAAGAATTATCAAAATATAGCAGCGATGTTTATGAAATTGATAAAATTTTGAAAAAGAGTAAAGGGAAATTGTTAGTCAAATGGAAGGGATATGCTGATTCATCTTGGATTCCAGAAGCTGAATAAACATAGAGTTGAACTGACATTAAGTTGAACACGCATTGAGTTTAAAATGAACACACATTGAGTTCGAAATAAACAGACATTAAGTTCAAGTTAATTGAGATACTTTACTTAATAAAATGGTGTTAATTGATATAAAAACAAAACAAGACTTGATAAAATTAAAGAGAGACTTAAGAAAACAATTCACACAAGAAAAAATTATGGAACAAGGTTTATACGATGATGCTAAAAAGTATATAAGCCTCTAATTGAACCTCTCACCAAAATGGCAGAAGAAACTAAGGAGACAAGGTTAGCTCTGAAAGATGGTTCCAGAGAATTATTATCAATCAAGCCTGCTGAAAAATTGGCATTAGAACCTCCAGACTCAAAAGAATCCGACTCAAAAGGACTAGTTGGTTCAATAGCTGAAACTTTTCTAAGTTACGCATTTAAATCTGGTTCTGAATATTACAAAGCTTACGGCATAAAATTTGATGGAAAAAATGTCATGCTAGGAGATAAAATTGTCTCCATACAAGATAACGACTTAGGGATTGGTAATAAAGTTTATGAGAGGACTGTCCCATTATGAGAGATATCAACAAAACAAGCCCCTGAAAACTATGAAGAAAATGATGTTGCAAATTATGTTCGAATTATGAGACAGACAAAGGCTTATCTCAGGCCTGATGGAACAATAAAATCAAACAAAGAAGAGAAGTATGAAAAATTAATCAGACCACTATATAAAACGACGCAGGTGGAAAAGCTCCGTCATGAAGTAGCTAGAATTAAAGCTGCAAGTCCTGCATCGTCTAGGGATTCAACTCCTGAATCAAGACCGGATACCGATTCGGATTTTTCTGGATAAAGAATAATAGTTATACCTTCTAACGGTAATAATATTATTGCAAGACATCACTTATTATTTGGCTCTCTGAATGCTGGAAACACAGGAGTCTTTAATGAATTGCAGGCACTCACTCATGAACTTTTCAAAAGAAATTTATTAAATGAACATGATGTTAAACTATTGAATGATTTTTGTTTAAAAAATGGAATCCCAAAGCATAGTTATTACTGGTAGAAAAAGTGATATTTAAAGGAATTTCACGCCGGCAATAAAATTGGATACAAACAAATTTCCTGAACTGGCATTGGTGGGGCTGGATATTTATCACTCTATCCCGAATATTGATGAGACAAATAATAAATTTTATGTTGGATTATATGGTGGAGAAATCGTTATAACAGTTCCGACTGGATGCTATGAGATAGAGAGTATCAATAGGTATATTAAAA